CAAGTAAAGCGCACATGCTCATGCGCACATGCGGTTCCTTCATCGTGTCATCATGTGTATTATTAAAGATTACAGTACGATAAGAATCATGTGAAATCACGATTGAATAATGCTTTATTATGCGTTGAATTTCACATAATCAGCTATGGAGCTATGCTGCTGTTAAGCTGCCACCTTACTTGCTTACTTACAATGATAATATGTAAGCAAAATGTTTTGAAAATGGTTCTGTAAAAATTGCTAATTTCAAATTAAAAAGTGCGTAAGAGCTGTATACACACCGCAGTTCCGAGAAAAAGTCAAAATGCTTCTAAATTTTTTTTTTCAATTTCTCTGCCTAGGATTAAGTTCCACTTACGTGCTTGCATATATTTAAAAAGTCTTTTAGATCATTGATATTAGTATACTTTAATATATTCTTTAATATATCCGGAGTGTGGTGGCATTTGATTTGTGCTTATTTTAACTCGTAGTAACACATACACAATTACGTCAACAGCAACATCTACATCATCACCTGCAGCTACTAGAAGCCTAGCATGTCATGCCACACGTGTTTGTGTGCATATAAAGCACAGTACCTATATCTACACACACACGCACATATATATATATATATATATATATACATACATAAATATATATATATATATTTATATATATATATGTAGATATATAATATAATCATCGCCACGTTACTTGTACAGCTTTTACGGGAAACTAAAGCAAAATTCATTGTAGAAGCTACACGAATCGTCTAACCGTCTGGTCTTTGTCGATGCATAATATCTATAATCAGCCACACGTACATTTAATATTGGCTAAAGAACTGTTATTAATATAATCAAATGTGAATTATCTCGAATGCAGATCGAACGCGTTATTCACGTGAACAGTGAGTACTGCTTGTGCTGAATGTGAACGATCATCCATTCAATCCATCCAATTTATTTCAAACATGAAAAAATTCCGCAATGACTGATGGTTGTAGTCGCTTTTTATCATATTTTACATTCCACTTGAAGTATGACGGTATATTAAATTTGTCATTTCGTTTGCAAATCTCCAACAGATCACACAGTAAGAGATTTTGAAATAAGTTTTTGTTCGTTTTTTGCGTATATTTTTTGTTGCGAAAAATTAAAATAAATTCGGTAC